CTGGTGGGTTTGAACCGCCAGCCTTCTAGTTAGCAGGCAAGTGTCTTAGCCACTATGCTACCAGAGCTCCTGAATGGCCATTAGCCATTAGCCATTCAATGGAAATAAAGTAAAAAAGAAGAGATTACTAGAAAGATTCACTGAACAAAAACTCAAAAGGAAGAGATAATGGAGTACAGTATAGAATTTCATGGTCAGAGGGAGTGTACTCAACCAAACCACAAAGTGAGCTGAGGAAAATATAACTGGTTTTATGCTGACAAGAAGACCTCTAGGTAGGACCCGTGACCAACTAAAGATATAAGTCTTTGTACATTATCAGTGATTATAAGCTATAAGTAAAGTAAGACTGTGGTTCCTATAGCATTTGGATCCAAACAGAATTAGATTATAATCAGGTTAATAATAGTGTATAAGAGACTTGTGCAGATAGTTCACCCTTGCCTACGGCGCATGTGAGGAGAGAACAGGAGCAGTGAAACACTGCTCCTCATTACCTATGGACTCCAGAAACCACTTACATGGTATTAATAGTAAAAGCTATTCTGTCAGACTTCCTCTGACCACTCAACTGTAGACAGAACAAGGCTGGAGCTCCTCTCTGCTCACAGATGGGCTATGATTTCTGAAAGGAACTACATTCCTTTTAGAACATAATGCTTCTCTGGTCCCTCATGTTTGCCTGTTATCTCTAGAAGCAGGGGTAAGGATATCTTTGGCTTCATTGCTGCCCCCCGCCACCACCATTCTCAATAAATGAGGCCTTGGCTAAAGAAGAGGATGAAACATACACTGAAATTCTCACTAAAACCACCATTCTATTTCAACCTTAGCCTCATCTTTAACCATCTTCATATTATTTCTAATATTTGAATTACAAATATTCAAAAATAATAAACTCACCATCGTCTTTCTGTTGAATATGAACAACTCTCTGGAAACTGGAACTCATGGCACTGTATGCATCCAGTGCAGCTGCTTTCTTTGCAATCTGTCGTTTCAACAAATCTGGCAAACCACTCATTAGAAATTCACGCTTCGCTTTAAACTGCACGTCGCAATTCTGAGCTTTTTCAGATGTATCTTGACTTTTAAGAAAATGGTTTCAAAGATGGAAACTACAGTCATAAAACACTTAATAGAGTATATTATCAAGAAAATAAACAAATTTTAATTGGGAAAAATCCAGTCAGTTTCCTGAATGTTAGCTGGTCAAATTCTTCTTGCTTATTACAAACATAAATCTGTCAGTGTTAAGAAATTAGATAAAAATAAATATGTATTGAAAAAAAAAAAAAAGACTGGAAGGACACCCATCAAAACATTAACTGTGGCTATCTTTAGGTGATAGCTGAGTTTTTTCCCTCTTTTCTGCTTTTTACATTTTTAAAACAAAGAATAAGTGCCATATTAAAAAAAAATTTACAAGAATTTCTATTGTAATATGGTGTCCAATATAAAGCAGGACAATTGGAGCCCTCATTATTGATATCCTACTTTCACTTGACTCAATTTTATCTGGCTTATCTTCAGACTGCCAATCACAGGAATTTTGACTACAGTGTCAGGAGGTAGAGGAAAGTGAAGGTTAGGGGACGCAGGCGAAGGATGGAGAGTTGGGAGTGGTAGCAGGTGGGAGGGTGTGCGGGGGTGATGTATCACAACACATATTCCCTTCCTAGCCTGCCATATACAAAAGAGTGGCTGGTGGGTTAGCAGTCAAATTCCTTTGGCACTCTACCACAAGAGCTCCCTGCCATATACAGTGTAAAAATTATAACACTATCTATGAAAAGAAATTTGGATTGGTAATTTAACCAAACCCACTGCCATCAAGTAGATTTTGACTCATTGCAACCCTACAGGACAGAATAGAACTGCCCTACAGGGTTTCCAAGGCTGTAAATCTTTACAGAAACAGATTGCCTCAACTTTCTCCTGCAAAGCAGCTGGTGAGTTCAAACCCCCAAACCCTTGGTTAGCTTTAAACACTGTGCCACGAGAGCTCCTTTGGTAATTAAAGAGGCTATAAAAACTCTGATTTCTACTTTTCTTTCCTATTTGGGAGAAATGAGACCCAAAGCCAGATCGAAGGGATTAGTTTTAGAAAAGAGAAAGAATTTCCTTACTGTTAGTTAATAGGTGGTAAGGAGGAACCAAATCCACTACTGTTGAGTTAATTTTGACCCACAAAGACCTTACAGGACAGGACAGAACTGCCCCCATAGGGTTTCCAAAGCTGTAAACCTTTAGGGAAGCAGACTGCCTTATCTTTCTCCCACTGAATGGCTGGTGGGTTCACCCCACTGACCTTTTGGTTAGCAGCTGGAAGCTTTAACCACTGCACCACCAGAGCTCCTTATAAGGGGAAAAAAAAAAAAAAAAACTCACTACCGTGGAGTCGGATCTGATTCATAGCAACCCCTCCTTGAGTTTCTGAGGTGGTATCACTATAGAAGTAGATTGCCCAATCTTCCTTCTGAGGAGTGGCTGGTAGGTCTGAACCACCAGCCTTCTGGTTAGCAGTCAAATGCCTTATGTGCTACGCCACCAGAACTCCTTATAAGGGGGAAAGGATGAGTAAATAAAGTTGTATCTAAATTAGTATGTATCTATAGGAGAAAATTATACAGAACAAACTCGATGGTAGTAGGTTTGGTTTGGTTTGAATAGCAGAATGTAAATGTTAAGCAGATAGTTACCAGGTGCCAAAGAAGATGGTAAGATATAATGATTAAAAATATCTTGGGAGCCCATCAACAGAAGAATGGATAACCAAACTATGGTACATACACACAATGGAATACTACACGACACTAAAGAATAATGCAGAATCCATATAACATGGATGAAACTTGGAAGGACATTATGCTCAGGGAAATAAGTCAATCACAGAAGGACAAATACTGTTATTAGTTCATTGTAAAAAGTCAAGGAAAGTCCTATATATGGAACGAAACTTCTTTGTTACCAGGAGTGTGAGGGGAGGGGAGGGAACACTGCTAGATACGTAGAGACAAGTATTGATTCAAGTAAAGGGAAGGGCAATGTACCAAATGTGAGTAATCAACACAGTGGCATTGAGGAAGAGGAAGACAGAGAGAGATACATGGGAGGTATAGACAACAAAGATGGACCCTTTTGCAAATACAGTACTGCGTTGTCAGTGATGGCAAGCATTGATCAGGTAGATAGATGGGTAGACAGAGTGAACAATCAGGTATGTCTAGGCAGGGGGGAGTGTTCCCATGACCATGTATAGGGTTGGCAGACGATGTTGCTACAAGCATATTAGTATGTGCTGTAAGAATATCCAGGTATATAGCAGAACTGACAAGGGACAAGGTTATGGTGACTTTTTGGCCACAGCCAGCTACACAGAAGGAGCAAGTAGATGGATCTGTGGGCTCGGGACCATGGTCGCACGGGACATCAAGCTCAACTGGCATAACTTACTACACAAAAACACTCTTCCACATCCTACTTTGGTAATTAGCGACTGGGATCTTAAAAGCCTGCAAGCAGTCATCTAGATGCAACGATGGTTCTCTCCTTGTCCAGAACAAAGAAGAATGAAGAAAACCAAAGATACATGGAAACAATTAGTCCAAAGGACTGCTAGACCATATGATCCTCAGCCTCTATGACCATGAGACCAGAAGAACTAGATGGTGCCAGGTTATTACCATCAACCACTCAGAAGCGGATCAGTGCAGGAGATCCTGGATAGAGAGAGGGAACAAAACTCAAAATCATAAAAAAAAAGGTCAAGTTTGCTGATCTGATAGAGCCTGGTGAGACCCCTGAGACTATGGCTCCTAGCTACCCTTCAGATCTGGAATTGAACTCACTCCTATGGCTTCCAGCCAAATAAAAGACAGGCATATGAGCTGAACAGTTCCATCAGGTAGATACACTACTTGGAGTGATCAATCATGGGAGACCAGAAGGGCAGTGTGTGCACAGGGAGACAGCTCAGCGGGCGGGAGTGCATGGCAGGGAAGGACACAGGGAAGAGGTAACTATGGGGAGGAAGCAGGAAGAGAGCTGTTACATTGTGGGGAACTGCAGTCATGTCATGAGACAAATTGCATATGAACTGCTGAATGGAAAATGAATTTGCATATATCTTGGGAGACTGGTTATATTGAGCAAATAAGTAAATTGACTGAATGAATTAAACATACTGAGGATACTGGCAGTCAAGTTTCTCCCTGGTGGAGACGTTGTTTCCAAACATGGGAAAAGGAAAAGCTAGAAAGGACCCTGAGTTGCTGGACTGAAACTGGAATTATAGGTATGCACCCATGGCTTTAATACACAGTTTTGGATATGTGTGTGCATATGCATATACATACATACATTTCTTAGCTTCATCTGCTGAGAAAGCCTAGAAGCAATGATATCTCAGGAGCAATGAGCAACTAGACCTTGGTTTCTAAATACCATGCTCCACTAAAAGGAACCAAGGCTCATAGGAGAAATGGCTGATTCCAGTGCTGGGCAAGTACAAGATGAGTCTAGAACATTTTACTTTCCCAGAAAGCAAGGAAATGCTCCATGAATAATAGGACATGACCAAGGAATCTGAAGGCAATGTAAAGGACTCTACTGCCCGAAGGAAAAATAATTTGAGCAAAATAAATAATGACAGAATAGATTATAACCTACTGAATACAATAGGAATCCATGAGTCCATATTAAGATATATACATGAATAAATAGATAAATATAGAGGAGCAGAGTATTATTTCTGTGGTAATCCTGACAAGACACAAGTGATAAGGAAATGGAGGGTCATCCTCTAGCAAGTAAGGTCTGCATTTTTAATAAAAACAGTCAAGGGCATGAAAGACAGGAAAATAGTAGAGGGAATATGGGAGTTCTTTGTAGTATTCTGGAAATTTTAACTTTTTTAAGAATTAATTTTTTTAATCTTTAATGGTACACAGAAGAATAGTTCTAAGAATTATAATGTAAGAATTCTAAGAATAGTCCAAAATTAGCAAATTTATTCCTTAAAATGATTCTGCTAGGTAAAGCAAACACAGATAACAGTGTGACCAAGCTGATGCTTTTCTCATTTCAGGTTGGCATTCAGCAACATAAGCATGACATGTTGAACTATTTTTTAAAAAAAGTACAGAATTCAAGCTACTAGAAGAGCAAGACAGGCTACCCAGGCTGATCTACAATTTTTCCAATGTCAAGCTCTTCAACCTCTTTATGACTGCTAATCCATAAATACATCTCTTTTCCTCAATTCATCAACACCTTCCTTCACTGATTCTCCTCCTTATTTAGCTTAGGTTCCATACTCCACCATTAAGTAACACTCTTGACAATCTATTCAACTACCTTACTTTCTTTTTGTGGCACTTGCCTGTCAAAAATCATCAACATCCTGCTTTCCCTGCACATGCACTGAGCAGCTAGTCAAACAACTGGGCACTCGGTTCCACCATAAATTCACAGTATCAGTTCAAATGGACCCTCAACACTATCAACAATCTTGCATTTTTCTTTTCAACTCCCTCTCTAGGACTAAATCTCCCTCATTCTCTTCAAACACAGATCTTGTCCATTCCTATCTCCTCACATTTAAAAGATGACCTCAAATCTTACAGAGAAAAGAGGTATCAGATGTGAATTTCCTTAACTTCCTTACACAAAAACACACAAATTCGTCTATTACTTGCCCATTCTGTCCTCCTTTCCCTCCTCTTGTTGTTAGCTGCCGTCTAGTCATAGGCTCTGACCCGTGCCCACCTTACATATAACAGAACAAACCGGTGCTGGTCCTGCGCCATCTTCATGATCATATCTGAGTCCACTCTTGAAGCCATCGTGTCAGTCTACCTCATTGAAGGTTTCTCTCGTGTTCACTGGCCCTTCACTTGACCAAACATAATGACCTTTCTAGGGTCCAAAATAAGCAAGCTCAAGTCTTGCCATCTTGCTTCTAAGAAGCATTCTGGTTATTTCTTCTGAGATTCATTTGTTCATTCTTCTGGCAATCCAAGGCATATTCAATATTCTTTACCAACACCACAGTTTGAATGCATCAATTCTGTCTTCCTTTTTCACTGTCTAGCTTTCACATGTATATGAGACAACTGAAAAGACCATGGCTTGGGTCAGATGCACCTTAGTCATTAAAGTAACATCTTTGTTTTTTTGTTTTTTTTAACAACTTCAAAGAGGTATTCTGCATCAGATTTGTCCAATGCAATATGTTGTTTGATTTCTTGACTGCTGCTTCCATGAGCATTGACCAATAGAGACTAATTCCCCAAAATTATATTGGAACTCAAATCATGTAAACTTTAAAGCCATTATTCTTTCTCTCATGAATTCAACTTCTCCTCATTACTTCTCTATGACTTTTAAATATGATGTCTCTTTCACTAAGTAAAAAAAAAACCTGATTTGATTTTCATGCCTCTCTAGTGACAACTCTTCTTCTCTTCAGAACCAACATTTTAAAAGTTGTCTATGCTCTAGGTATTTACCCAAGAGTAATGAAATAATATATCCATGCAAAAACTTATACATAAATGTTCCTAAGATCTTAATTCACAAAAGTTTGAAACTGGAAGCAACTCAAATGTCTATCAAAAGATTAATATATAGACAAAATGTGGTGTATTCATGTAACAGAATACTACTCAACAACAAAAAAAGAATGAACTACTGATATACTTGACAACATGAATAAGTCTCAAAATCATCATACTGAGTGGAATATTACAGACATAAAAGAGTAAATACTGTATATCCCATTTAAGATCAGAACACACAAATCTCTGGTAACAGAAATCAGAATAGTGCTACTCTCATCATCTCTGGCATGATGGTGATGAAGTGGAGTAACAGAAAAACAGAAAAGAAGTATAAGTAAACTTTCTGGGGTAAAATATTAATTTTATATCTTGATATAGGCTAACTTGTCAAAATTGAACACTTAAGATCTATACATTTAACCATATGTAATTGTATCCTCAATAAAGTGAAAACAGGAGGAAAAAACAAACAAACAAATAAACAAAAACCCTGCAACTTTAGATGGCTCTATCTGGTCTTTTATTGTGCCATCCAGTTGCATAAAGCAGAAATTTTGGCACCATCCTAATACCCTCCTTTCCCTCACTGCCCTACACCCCCATCTAATTAATCATGAAAGGCTTTTTAATTATGTCCTAAATGTCTTTACATCATCTGCAACATCCTACTCCACTGGACTCCTATACACATTCTAATCCCTTCTCCAATTCTTTACACAATAGCCAGATTCAAAACTGCTTGTCTCCACATTCATGCTTAAAGCCTTTTGAGTTTTCATCAGTCTTAGGTTAACAATAAAATTCTTTAAAAGTCCTATGTTGTCTGGCACCTACCTTTCCAACTTAGTCTCACATTCCATTCATCCTTGCTCTCTCTACTCAAGTCACACTGACATTCTTCAAGTCTTTTGTATTTACTACGTATTTACCATGTTCCTTCTAGGAGCTCTGGGGGTGCAGTGGTTAAAGCATTTGGCTACTAACGAAAAATTCAGTGGTTTGAACCTACCAGCCACTCAGTAGGAGAAAGACGCGGCAGCCTGTTTCCATAAAGATCTACAGCTCCGCCCTATGGGGTAGCTATGGGTCAGAATCTACTCAATGGCAGTGGGTTTGGTTTGGTTTTTTATGTTCTTTCTACCTATATAGGGTCTTTGCACAGACTGTGTCTAGAACAATTTTCCTCCCCCTTGTTAACTCTTGCTCATCCTTCATATTGCCGTTCAAGTCTCAGGTAAGCCTTCCTTGATCAGACCAAATCTCCTTAAAATAAACTCTTACAGAACTTTATACCAATCTTTAGCAATTCTTCATTTGTTGGCCTGATTAATCTTCATATATTGTCTTCCCTCTCTAGACTATAAGCCCTATGATGACAGGCAATATTTGTTATTTTGTCCCCATTATATTCTCCATACAAAATGTAGTGCCTGGAACATAGGAGGTATTTAAATATTTATTGAATAAATGAAATTTATAATCAGCTTTTTGGAGGTTTTTTTTGGTTTATTTATTATTCTGCTTTTTTGTCTAGATATGGGCATAATTTTGTAGAAAATTAAGATCTTTAAATAATAGTTGTAGTATTGTCAATATTATCATCTATAGAATTTTATTGAAACTTCAAATGATAATTACCTGCTTGCTCATCAACAAATAAATACAAAATACATTCCATAAAATATTTTAGTAATTTATAATTTGCATTGGACTGACCTGCTTTCATCAAATCCAAGGACAGTATCCACTGTTTTTTGAGCTTTTCTGGCAAGAAATAAAGGAGCAACTTTTGTTTTTCCTTAGAAAAATAAATACTTAGGTTAGTATCAATGTTTTCCATCTCCACTTACCATCAGCTGCTTTCAAAATTATATATCTTTTTCAGTTTTTTCAATTAACTCTTTTCTTTATAAAGTATTTTTTTACATGATGATCTGGTTCCTAAACCTAGCAGTATCAGAATCTCCTGAGGAATGTTTTTTTAAAACTACAGATTCCCACAGCACACCTCTGGAGATGCTTATTCAAGATGTCTAGGGAAGGACCTAAAGATATAAAATTTAAAATTTACCCAGATGACTCTGATGATCAGACAGACTTGGGAACCCCTAATTTAGTGATGCTAAATAGGTACCTGGAAATACACTAAATTAAAACATGTTCAGCTTCCCTTTTCACAAAATTCTTCATTTATACTATACTTTTACTTATTAAAATAGAAATCCTACTTAATTAAAATTTTTATATTTTCTAAGTCAAGAGATTAAATTTGCATCACAAGAGCACCAAAACAATACAATTCCCACAAAACATTCAAGTTTTTCTATAATGTTATTAAAGCTGATTACCTGGTACATCTTTAGGCGACTGGTTAAGGTTTTTTCCTAGCACATCATTCAAACACTTAAGTTTCTTCTGATTTTTCTCAGGCTGCTTTAAAGAAGTAAGACTTGAATCTATTATTATTACAGAATCCTAAGACAAAATAAGAGAAAAATCAAAAAAGTGTATTATATATTTGATGTCTTAAGATATATAGGCCATACCATTAAATTAGCAACTCAGTACTTCTCCTCACAAGACACTATCTGATTGAAAAAGAAAGCACATGAAAGGGCAGTCTCCCCTTTCATCATACAAGTTTATGTGATGTGGGTTTATTATAACTATAGGCTTTTCTTTTTTAAAGAATTAATTAGTAGACTATATTCCAGATAAAATAATTAATATAAACTATAGAAAGTCTGGCTATCCTATCAGAACTAACTATATAGCCTAGAAATGGATTAGATGAAGTCTGATGTTTTTACGTGGTCAGGATACATTTATTGAGCACCTACTATGTATAAAGGAAGCTCTGGTGATGTAGTGCCTAAGGCATTTAACTGCTAACCAGAAGGCTGGTGGTTCAAACTCCTCAGAAGGAAGACTGGGCAATCTACTTCTATCGAGATACTGCCTCAGAAACCCAAGGAGGGGTCGCTATGACTCAAATCAACTGGGCAGCAGTGAGTTTACTATGTATCAAGCAATATACCCACCCCTCAGTCACTGACAGGTTAGGTTACAAGACCAGGGTGTTACTCAAAATCAGCGTTCTCCAGAGTCAAGGACCATGCCCCTTCTTCAGTGCTGGTGTCTTCCTGCCTCCCACTGTTGCTCAGTAACTGCCAGGGGCTGCTGGCATGTCTCAGGATGACTGCGGCTGGCCCTTCTTCCCCACCAAAGCAGAGCCCGTGGGGGTTGGGAGTGGTGGTGGTAAGGTATTGCCCACCACCTGCCACCTCCTGCTCTAAGTGGAGAGACCCCACTCATCCTCCATCCACCCTGGCCCCACAGCCCTGCACGGCCCCCTTCCCACCTCCTACCTCCCCCTACCAATCTCCCTGGCACCTTCAGGACCTTGCCCAGTCTCCCCCTGCCCACCCACGACCTCACACTGTTCCCGTCACCCTGTGCCTTTTGTGGACAGACCTAGACATCATGGATGAATGAGAAGGCTAGGCATCACCAGGGCCTTTGGGTATATCATTTGGGGTGGCAGGTGGATGGTGCCCTGGCCCCCACCACAGTCTTGCATGGGACCCAGAACATCAGAGGTGCCACCTGAGAATTTTTTCAAAGTGTTCATAAATGTAAAATGCTGGATAGTCACTATGTGAGAAGTAGGTGTATAGCAGGTGCTGGGAATACGCAGACAAATAAAACTCAAGAACTGGCTTCAAGTTTACTCCAGAATTTAGGGGACCCATGGGGGGCCAGCTAGCATGAGTAGATATTTTAACTAGTTATAATACAGTGTGGTGGGAGCAGTACTGACTGGAGGTCAAAAAAACAAGTACATACACCAAAGGAAACTATTTGGCCTGAAGGCATCAGCACAGCTTTCAAGAGGAGGTTGTTGCTGTTGTTATGTGCCGTCGAGTCAGACCCGACTCATAGCAACCCCTCCTTGAGTTTCTGAGGCGGTATCACTACAGAAGTAGATTGCTCAACCTTCTTTCCGAGGAGTGGCTGGTGGGTATGAACTGCCAGCCTTCTAGTTAGCAGTCAAGTACCTTAGGCACTATGCTACCAGAGCTCCCTCAAGGAGGTAGTGGCACTTAAAAAAAAAAAACAATTGCCATCGAGTCAGTTCCAACTCATTGTGTGACCCCAAGTGTGTCAGAGTATAATTGTGCTCCATACCCTGGTCTTTGTAACCTCCACAGGGTTTCAAAGGTTGATTTTCACAAATAGATCGCCTGACTGTGTAAACTGTTTGCACCACCCAGGCACTTAGTAGCATCTTAAAGGTAGAGTAGCAAATGCCTCAGGTAAAAGAGAGTACCAGGAGCAGATATCTCAAGCTGAGAACACAAAGTGAAAATTGTATCATTTGGGGAGAAATGCTTAATCTAGAGACTACAGCAAAGAGAGTGTATGGTGAAGGGCATTGCTTTAAGGCAAGGGAAGGGCTAGTTCAACCATGAAGGATCTTAATTGACTTCATAAAGATTTGAACTGTATTATGTAGGGCAAAAATAGTCAAAGGCTTTTAAGGCAAAACTACAAATGATATTCTTTTCTACCACCTTGAGGCTATCTCACAATGCTACCTTATATAACTTAGCAATGATTTTCTTATCTCATTCCAAACAGCAGAATAGAACAGAACTTGAACCAGTAAATATGCATAATACTTACTTCTGTTTCTGACAATTTCTTCCTTTCAGTAAGTGCCTGATGTCTAGAGGAACGTCTTAAGGGTGCTGGCATTTCATCAGTAGCCTTTGACCTACTAATGTGTAAAGCTTTCGCTTTTTCAATCAATTGTTTTGCTTTTGATATATTTTTTGAAGCATTACTTGCCTAGACAAAAATTCGAAATATTTATTTAGATCACCAGTAACCATTTTATATATAAAAATTAAAAACCACATTAAATAAAAAACAAAAGAATGATTATTTAAGACTTGTTAGGGAACTTTAATTAAAATGTATCTAGTTATACTTGGTTTGCTTTTATTTCTTATTTTAAATTTATCCAGATAAATATAATTACATGTATGGAAAATACCCAGAAGTATGTTTGTAGAAGGAGTATATATTAAAATGGTAAGCTATTTCTCCACCATCACCACAGCATCTATCCTTTAATTTTTATCACCAAATTTGGGTAAAGTTTTTTCTAAATATGAATAAATAGCCTACTATATGCAAGGCTCTGACTTGAACACCATAAAAACACAAACAATATTATAACATGTGGATCTTGAGGAACTTACAAATAATAGGGAAAAAAGACTAAGCAGATACGTAAGAAAAATTGGTATACACTATTATTGTACATACATATATTAAAAAAACACAACTCACTGCCATCAAGTGGGATCCAACACATAGAGACCCCTCCTTGGGTTTCTGAGGCAGTATTACTACGGAAGTAGATTGCCCAACTTTCCTTCCAAGGAGTGGCTGGTGGGTTTGAACCACCAGACTTCTGATTACCAGTCAAATGGCTTAGGCACTATGCCACCAGAGCTCCCATTATTATGTATATATACATATGTGAAATCATACCATAGAAATTTAGGCTAGAGGAAGAGTACTTTAGGCAGAGCTCTGGTAGCGCATAGCCTAAGGCACTTGACTGCTAACCATAAGGCTGGCGATTCAAACCCACTAGCCACTCCTCAGAAGGAAGATTGGGCAATCTACTTCCGTAGTGATACTGCCTCGGAAACCCAAGGAGGGGTCGCTATGGGGTCGGATCCGACTCCATGGCAATGGTTGCGTTTGTTTCCATTGCTGGTAGGTTAAAAGGTATTATGTGTAGTATGGAAAAGAGTACTCCAAAAACCAAACTCAGAGGTAGACAGAGATAAATATTGATTTGGGTGAAGAGAAGGGCAATGTACCAAACGTGAGTGACCAATATGGCAGCATTAAGGATGAGAAAGACATAGAGAGGTACATGGGAAGTACAGACAACAAATATGAACCCTTTTGCACATACAGTACTACGTTGTCAGTGAAGGTAAATATGGGTATATGGATGGATAGATAGGTGGACAGGCTAAATGATTAGGTATGTCTATGAAATGGGGAGTGTATCCAAGATCATATATAGGGTTGGCAGACAATGGTCCTATTAAGTTTATGTGAATGATCAGAATTCCCAGGTGTATAGTAGAGCTGACAAGGGGCAAGGTTATAGTCACTTCTTGGTCACAGCCAGCTACCCAGAGGGACCGAGTAGTTGAACCTGTGGGCTTGGGACCATAGTCACAGGGGACATCAAGCTCAATTGGCATAACATACTATACAAAACATTGTTCCACCTCCTACTTTGGCGAGTAGCAACCGGGATCTTAAAAGCTAGCAAGATGCCATCTAGATGCAACGATGGGTCTCTCCTCATCAAGAACAAAGAAGAAAACCAAAATTAATGGAAACAATTAGTCCTAGCGACTGGTACACCATCTGATCTGCAACCTGTACAACTATGAGACCAGAAGAACTAGATGGTGTCCGGCTACCACTGTCATCCATTTGGAAGGGGATCTACGTAGGAGATCCTGGATAGAGAGGGAGAACAATGTGGAACGAAACTCAAAATCATTTGGAGGAAAAAAAAAGGCGGGGACCAGGTTTGCTGGTCTAATAGAGCCTGGTGGAACCACTGAGACTATGGCCCCTAGCTACCCTTCAGGTCTGGAATTGAACCCACACCTGTGGTTTCCAGCCAAACTAAGTACAGGCACGTGAGTTAAATATTTATCTCAAGTAGACACACGCCTTGAAGAGAACAATCATGGGAGAAAGAAGGGCTGCTTATGCACAGGGAGACAGCTCAGGGGGCAGGAGAGTACGGAGGGATGGACACTGGGAAGAGGTAACTATGGGGAGGAAGTGGGAGGAGAGCTGTTGCATTGTGGTAAACTGTGGTCAATGACATGAGACAAAGTATATGTGAACTGCTGTATGGAAAGTGAATTTGCTCTGTAAATCTTCACCCAAATCACAATTAAAAAAAAACAAACTCAGCCCCATCAAGTCAATTCCAACTCATAGTGACCCCCACTGGGTTTCCAAGGCTGTAAATCTTTACGGAAGTAGATGGCCCTATCTTCCTTCTGCAGAGCAGCTGGTGGCTTTGAACCACTGACCTTCTGGTTAACAGCCAGATGTCTTACCCACTACGCCACCAGGGCTCCTTAGGAAGAGAGCACTAGATAAGAATAAAAGTCTGGCCATCAGGACTGGCTATAATATTGATGTACTATGTGATCATTTAAATCCTGTCTTTCAGAGAAAGTGCTTTCCACTAACTTCCATTGGTTTTTATGCTGAGATTAAAAACATACACAGCAAGCTGCAGAACAGTTTACATTATATAACCTCTTTTAAAAGTTATATCAATTTCATTGTTTAGGAAGCACTGAGTGTCCATTTATGGTGACGGAAAACTTCGCAACAGATACTGGTTAGAGTTATACACATGATTAATGTAACTGTTGTCACTGGGTTGCTGAATTGGCAAATGTGTTATATATACTGTTTATAAAAATAAATATACATATATACATATGTATACATATACATATATAATATGTGCATGGGAGCTCTGGTGGTGCAGTGCCTAAGGCACTTGACTGCTAACCAGAAGGCTGGCAGTTCAATCCCACCAGCCACTCAGAAGGAAGGTTGAGCAATCTACTTCCGCAGTGATACTGCCTTGGATACCCAAGGAGCAGTCGCTGTGAGTTGGATCCAACTCAACGGCAGTGAGTTTGGTTTTAGTTTTTGGTAACATGTGCATAAAAAACAGCCTGGAAGGATAAACACTTAACTATTAAAAGTGGGTTACCCAGAGAGAACAGTACTGAGAAAATGAAAACATATTTCACTTCTAATTTCATACGTTTCTGCTGTGTGTTTTTCAAACAAATGTTTAATATTTTAAAAACCATTTAAGAAAAAGAATGGCTATCCAAAGTAAACAAAGAAGGACAGGAATGTCAAGGAAATGGTGCATTAATAGTGGAACAGATTTTTTGTTGTTCTGGTAGCAAAACTGTTGGCAGGCCAATGGACCTAATAGCAAGTCAGAATCCAAAATAATCCATCTAAATTTAGGTTAATAATTCAATCGCTGAAACAAACTGTTATATAAGGAGATATGTTTCAGTGAATGTTAAAAGAAAAAACAAAAACACATACTTTCTGAAAGTAGTTCTGATATTAAAACCCATTTTTTAATAGCTTTTTTCTGATTATAAGTTTTCTCCTTCCTTTTTTATAAAAATCAGAATATAGAAAAATAAATTAAAATCATCCATAATGCCATCATATCTAGAATAGTCATTTCTAACACCCTACATTCTGACCTAGAAGCCTATCCTCCCACATCTTACTTGGTTAGTTCTGCCTACATCTGTCAGCTTTTTTCTTTCTCCTTACTTACCAGCCTCTGCCTTCCCCCAAAATACAGCTTAGAGTCCACTATCTATCATTTCAACCATTTCTAAAAATACTCTAACTCCCTTAGCCCCATTAGGAGCTCTGGTGGCGTAACGCCTAAGGCATATGACTACTAACCAGAAGGCTGGTGGTTCAAGCCTACCAGCTACTCCTCGGAAGGAAGACTGAGCAATCTATGTCCATAGAGATACTGTCTCAGAAACCCAAGGAGGGGTCACTATGAGTTGGATCTAACTCGACGGCAGTGAGTTTGGTTTTGATTTGGTTTGGCCCCATTGTCCTTCTGCTACACCTACCTGGGAAAATCCCAACTCTGGGTCAATCTAATTGTCCACCTTGCTTAAATGCAGGTAAACAATCACCTGTGCACCCACTACACAACTGAGTGCACTTGTCAAGGTGGCCAAAAATCAAAAGACACTTCAATTTTTATCTTACTGGTGCTCTCTGTCTGTGTGACTCCACAGCAGGTATCAACAGCAGGCTTCTCTGCAGCATTTGACAATATTGACCACTCCCTCCATGAAATGCTTGCCGGACATCACATTCTCCAAGGTTTCTACCAGTTCAGTTACTCTTCCCATGTCCTCTTTTCCTGCTCAATCCTTAAAGGCTGTGGAGTCCCCCCCCAAGGTTATCCTTGAACAACTTCTTTTGTCACCAAACATACTTTCTCTTTATGATTTCTTTCATTCTCACAGCATCAATTGCCATCAGTATGGTGATGGCCACCTGTCAGTTTTATCTCTGGCTTAAATCTCTCTGCAAAGGTTTAGAACCATGGCTCCACCTCTAATTGGATGGCTGAACTTGGATATACCTCAAATCCAACTTGTCCAAAACCAAATTCTTCATCTTTCCCCCAAACCAGCCTTGTTCCTATCTTAACAAAAGACACCATCATTTACTCAAAAACCCAAGTCAGAAACACAGGTATCATGCTTGACTACTCCCTCACTTTCACATCAAGTCTATCAAGGGTCCTCAATTCTACCTCCTAAATAACCACTGGGCACCCCTTCTGAACACAATCACATCTTATGTGGATTATTCTAAAAGCCTCCTCATTTCCCAGCCTCAAATCTCAACCCTCTTCAATATATTTTTCACACTGTGGTCACAGTAATATTTCTAAAACTTAAATCTAATCACATTATGCCTCCAACTTAAAATGGCTTGCCCCTGCTTTCAGAATGAAGTCCAAATTCCTAACAACTGGACTCTGCTTAACTAAAATGAAAATGTTCTCCAGTGCCCTCAAGGTCTTTGCACACGTTGTTCCCTCTGCTTGGGAAATTCTTTCTACCCTTTTAGATCCTCATTTTTCATCTCTTGGAAGTCAGGTATCCCACCTATGCGCTCTTAGAGTGCCCAATGCTTACTTTAGTATTGTTCTTATTATATATGTGATAATTGCCTGTTTATTTACCCGAATTCTCTTTAAGAATGTAAGTTCTATGAGAACAGAGACCATGTATAGTATCTTGTTCACAGCTGTATCCCCAATACAGAACACATAGCATTGCACTTAATATTTATTGCATAAAAGAGTAAACCAAAAGCTATTCTGAAAAACATTCTGTTAGAGAGCTATTACGAATATGGAGTTCATTCTCATGGAAACACGAGAAACCTCTCTCAGGAAATCTAGGTTCTCTGATAAAGTTAGTAAGTAAGTATGGGTAAGGCTTCAAGTAATAAGAGTTCTGTGGAAAGTGGCTCATAGACTAATAGCATGAGATAAAATACCTGATCAAAGTATTTGGATAAGGGTCTAATTGGGACACAGTTAATTTGGAGATTTATCTCACTGGAAAACTTGTTACTGAGTTGCAATTCTAAAGGCAAAAGAAGGCACAGTATTCTTAAAATTAGAGTTGAAGTTATCCTTTAGAATTCAATTAAATAAAGTATATGAGATAAAGTTCACCTCAGAAATTGTAACCTTGAGCTGTGGTACAACCAGCTGGATTCTAGAATGCTTTCCAACAGGCTAAGAGCCATCTTTCTAACTACCTACTGTGGTTGTGACTTTGGGAAATTCACTTCCCAGAGTCACACATAAGCTGCATGCTTCCTCACCCCATGAACTGCAGTTTCTTCATCTAAAAAGCAGACTAAGTAACATCTGCTTTATGAGATTAATGAAGTAAGTACTAAGCATACTGCTTGGAACATGGCAAGCAATTTGGAAAAAAAAAAAAGATAGCTGTTAAATAAAAATGAAAGATACCAACTTTCTGTAACAATACTTTTCAACCAAGGATTATATCACAATCACCTTGGTGGCTTTTTCAAAACACACATACCTGTCAATGTTGCTTAAAGGAAATAGAATACTATTTATAGTCTAGTATTTCAATTACCTTTCTAGTCTGAGAAGTAAAATCACCATCAGTTGCTTCAGATTTCTGAGATCTTTTCTCATATTTCTTCTTAGATTTTTTCTTAGATTTTTTGGGAGTACTTATTCTAGTAAATTTCATTCTGAAAAAAAGAGAAAGTGTTCAGGAACATTTTCATGATTATGAAGTGTTAGAATCTCAAATACAGAAAAGAACCACCTAGAACCCCCATCTCTGAACTGCTCTAAAACATAAATAAAAACTCCAGTTTCCAACAACTGATTCAAAAGTAAACCAAACACAATGTTAAACTCTTGGAAATATGTTTCCTTTAGAAACAAGCTTTACAAAATTCTGCTCTCTAAATGTGTACTGAAAGAACAATTTTAAAAAATAAAAAAATAAGCTTTACAGAAAATTAGTTCCCAAGATGCCTTTTCTATTAGAACTAGCATGCATGTGTTACTGCATAGAGTCAGGGCTCAGTTCACCAAGAAATAAATAAATGTCTGATTTATTTTTTATATTCATGCTCCTTAAATGCACAGAATTCATATCTGAAGGATATTTCTCCAGGAATTACAATTCATCTAAAATACATTCAGAACTCTTCTGAAATTATGCTCGACTTCAAATTAAACATGGAAAACAAGGAGAATTTTTGAAACTTTGTTCTCTTTTTCTTACAAAATAAATCAGTTATATTCTAGAAAAAAATATTCTCTGATGACTGAAATATTTTCCTTCCCTGCTAATATTACATGCAAAATACTAGAACTTACATAGAATGGTACAATTTTAAAGTAAAAACAAAACTTTACCTAATAGGACTCTCTGAATCAGAGGGCACTGTTACTAATTCCGCTGTATATAAGTTATGCCTTCCTGTGAAGTTGGCCCCTTTTGGAGTAGAAGCCTGTATTGGACTACTATCATCCACATCTTCAAAATCAGACCCACTGATGATTATTGTGGTAGGTGTGCTGCTACTTCTCACAGATCTTCTGGTTGATTTGGGTGTGGAAACATTTAACAAGCTGTCTTCAGGTCCACCTTTACAATGTGTAACTTTGACATCCTTAACTGGAGTACTGGTTTTTCTTGATGATTTCTTGTTATATGGAGAAGAAATCTTTAAAGGTTTATCCTTTGCTATATCTTCACAAACATGATTTTTACTGTTAAATAATGTATTATTTTTGAAAACTTCTGTTTTCTTTTGTCTTAAACTCATTCTAACTCTATTTTGATTTTGCTTATTTTTTAAGCAAGTGATAGTTTCTTCCTTTTGAGTATTTTCCTCTCTATTTTCACCTAGTGTAACCTCAGTAGCTAAAGTTTTCTTACACGCTTGCTTTGGCTTTTTACTTTTATCCTTAGGAAAGCTTCCTTTTTCAGTCTGTCCCTCTGAACTGCCATTATTTAAAATCACTTGGCTATTAGGATCTTCCATGTTTTTAGAACTACTGTCTCTTCCCTCCTCACGTAAAGGTTTTTCACTAAGGTCTCTCTGCTTATCAAAAGACTTTTTAATTCCATTTTTAAGCGCGTCTGAAGCTGGCTGCCTAAATGCTTTCATAAACTGCTGTCTTTCTTCTAGAGTGCATTTTGGTTTTACGGCTTCAGAACCCCCCGCTTCCAACACTGCCAATTCTAATTCTTCCTCCTGTATAACAACGTTAGATTTTCTTTTCTGAGTTGTCTGTTCACTCTCGGGATCAGAGAGACTATTTTCCACTTCAACTTGCTTTTGTTTCAAGAAAATGGAGGGTATTTTCCGTGTCTTTTTTAGGGGTACAGGGTGAACTTGTGCAAGAACAGTCACTGTCTTAAAGTGTACGTGCTGGGAACTTTCACAAGTTTCTGTATCACTTATATAACCACTTTGGACTATTTCTCCAATCGTTTCACAAGGAACGCAAACAGACACTGTGGAGTCTGGTATCTGTTCCACTTTGTTTTCCTTATGACTTTTTAAAAATTCCTCATACGAGACAGTTATTGTATTATCATTTAATTGGGCTATTTTAGCTACATTATCTCCAGGGTTTGCATCATTTGCAGTACTCTCTATTTCATTAGTTAGGGAAAATATTATCTGTTTATTATCATTACCATCTTTTTTAAGATTTAGTTCCTTTGTCAAGGATAAACTTTGAGAGAGATCTATTACATCTCTGTGTTTCCTTTTTCTCACTTTTTTGCAATCATTTTTTGCGGTGCCTTGTTTAGGATTTACTTTCTTAGAATTCTGTTTGCAGGTCATAGTGCTTGACTGGTTTTTAATATCTTGAATACTTTCTGCAAGTTTCTGATGGAGTAAAACAGAAGTATTATTTTCTACAAAGTCATTATTTAAACTGGAGTCTTCTTTACTATCATCACTATGAATTTCAATTGGAGATTCATGTCCAGTTTTAATATTATTTAGTTGATGGGATAAATTAACTCTCTTCCCTCTCTTCTTAAACTCTACAGTTGAGAACGTTTCCAAAGGTGTTTTACAGTCCCTGCTACTATCAACAGGCAACAGTGCAGATGACTTTATCTTACATTCTTTTGTTGACCGAGTCTTCTCATTTGTGGGTGAAGTCTTTTTAAAATAATCCAGAATATTATTAGATTTTGGTGGAGAGAAAACCCTATCTCCAGTCTTCCCTATCGGTGATAAATATTTTGTAATTGTTTTACAGGAAGTTCCGTCATCATCTTTCCTTCGCTTTTTGCATGGCTATAGATTTAAAAGAAGGAAAAAAGGCACTTATTTCCAGAAAAATAATACAAAATATAAATTTTAGACATGGAGCTAATATTTTAAGTATTTTAAGTAGTTTATATTATTTTAATATCTTAAGTAGTGAGATAAAGAATGGGAGGCTCTTTTAGGTGACAAACACGAAATACTAGAAAGAACATGAACTTTAATGTTAAATCTACATTCAAATTTCAACATCCCAATGTGTCATATACTTAGAACTTATGTACTTTACTGTATCCATATTATATAAACCAAAGACCAAACCAGTTGCTGTAACATTGATTCTGATTCGCAGAGACCCCTTGTGTTGCACAGCAAAATGGAGCTCCATAGGGTTTTCAAGGCTATGACATTTCAGAAGAAGGTCACCAGGCCTTTCTTTCAAGTTGCCTCTGGGTCGCTTCAAACCACCACCCTTTCAGTTAGTAGTAGAGCCCTTAACTATGTGCCTCACCAAGAAACTCCTTACATACACATGTTTGCATTAAAAAAAAAAAGAAAGAAACCTACTATACTTATGAGCAAATTAGCACTTTTCCTCAGTCTCTGTTTACTCTATAAACTTCAAATAACACTCAAGAACTTGTGAATACACTACATAAAAATATGTAAAGTCTGATTCATAGAAGGAATCCTACAAGTATTAATTACGTTCCCTTTTTGTATATATTTTTAGTTAAAAATAAGCACATTATTGCTAAGAAACAGGAGCATATTAAATAAGCCTAGGATCCCAAAATTTCCTAATTAAGTAGAAATTATGATGAAAGTTCACCAAAGAATACTTACCACAAATCTGATGTTTTAATTTGGTACTAAACTGTTACTGCTTTTCTCTTACATTAGTTATTACCCTCACAATATCAACATGACTATAATGCTAGGCTTGTTTATACATTTTTTTTTTTGGTCATAAATCAGTGATAAAACGTAACCACTACTGTCAAATCTATTCCAGCTCATCATGACCCTATAGGACTCAGCAGAATTGCCTGTAGGGTTTCCAAGGCTATAGATCTTAACGAAAACAGACTATCACATCTTTCTCGGAAGGAGTGGCTGATGGGTTTCAACCACCAATTTATTTATTTTTTATTACCAGCCAAACACTTTAGTCATTGTGCCACCAGAGCTCCTATTTACATAATATAAAACAAATTTTACCTTACTGGTTACAAAAAGCACCATTAGTCTTTTTTCAATTTTATTTTAACTTCCCTCAGTTCATTAGTTAGAATAAACTTAACAGAGTAACAATGAAATTCTTTAAAAAGTTAAGTAATGAATAGGAGTTACGCTTCCAGAAAATTAAAATCTATTATAAAGCTACCATGATTAAAAGGAACTCTGGTGGCACAGTGCCTAAGGCATTTGACTGCAAACCAGAAGGTTGTCAGTTCAAACCTACCAGGCGCTCCATGGAAGGAAGACTGGGCAATCTACTTCTGTAAAGATTTACCACCTCAGAAACCCAAAGAAGGTCGCTATGAGTCGGAATCCACTCAATGGCAGTGAGTTTGGGTTTTTGTTGTGACTTTTTTTTTTTTTTTTTTTAAATCATGATTAAAAGTGTGGTACTGATGCAGGTCAATGGAATTGAAATGGAAACCAGAAACAAATACAAGTATATACTTAAGATTGTAGATGGTAATGGTACTATGTTCTGGTAGCTCTGTTGGGAGCTCTGGTAGCATAGTGCCTAAGGCATTTGACTTTTAACCAGAAGGCTGGTGGTTCAAACCCACCAGCCACTCCTCGGAAGGAAGGTTGGGCAATCTACTTCCGTAGTGATACCACCTCGAAAACCCAAGGAGGGGTCATTATGAGTCGGATCTGACTCAATGGCACATAACAACAACAACAACAATGGTAGTATTCAAGGTAGTGGCAAAAGAAGTATTTAATAAATGGTTTTGGATATGGAAGGAAACTTTCTTTGTTGCTTCCCAGGGAGGGGAGGGGAAGAGAGGGAAAATTTCTAGATTGATTTAAAAAAAAAAAATTTATACACACACACACACACCCCGGAGTTCTGGTGGCATAGTGCCTAAAGCATCTGACTGCTAACCAGAAGGCTGGCAGTTCAAACCCACCAGCCACTCCTTGAAAGGAAGATTGGGCATTCTACTTCCATAGAGTAACTGCCTCAGAAACCCAAGGAGGGGTCACTATGAGTTGAATCGACTTGACAGCAGAGAGTTTGGTTTTTTTGGATATATATATATAACCAACGATTCAGTGGTTACCAGAGATAGGAGAGAGGGGGAAAGGGGAAGGTTTTGTTTGCAGGGCGTTGAGTTTATGCTAAGGGTGGTAAAAAATTTTGGAAAAGGATAGCAATAATGGTGGCACGACATGAAAAATGTCATTAACATCCCTGAGCTGTAAATGTGGAGGTTATGTTGGGAAATATCTTGGTGAGTATGTTTTCACCACAATAACAGTAAACAAAATAAATAAATAAATGGTATCGGGACAAACTTTTAACCATTTGGATAAATATGAGTCAGAACAAATTACAGACAGATTAAAATTGTATATGTTAAAATGAAATCACAAATGTTTTGGAAGAAAATACTGATGAGTATTTATATAATCCTGAATTGGTATTAGGATCTCTGGTAGCATAGTGCCTTGGGCACTTGACTGCTATCCAGAAGGCTGGCGGCTCAAACCCACCAGACACTCCCTGGAAGGAAGGTTGGGCAACCACCAGACACTCCCTGGAAAGAAGGTTGGGCAATCTACTTTCGCAGTGATACTGCCTTAGAAACACAAGGAGGGGTCGCTGTGAGTCGGATTTGACTTGATGGCAGTGAGAGTGAGTTGGTATTAGAGGAACAATGCGCTGGAATCAAGCAGTTTAAATTTGAATGCTGGCTCTGACATCTACTAGTGGAAGACCTTAAACAGACTACTTCAACTTTTTAACCTTCTCTCATTTGTAGAATAGAGGTAATAGTACCTCATTACAAGGTGATGTTAAGCAAAATGTTTACAAAGCCGTTACCTTTGCCATACTTAACGGGGATTATTATGAAATAGGCTCTGTAAGCAGGCCACAGAAAGCAGAAGCCATAACCCAAAGATCGATAGTAACTGACCACACAAAACAGCAAGAACTGTGTCATTCAAAGTCCTTCATACCTAGACAAGCTGAGTGACTACCCTGACTTAGCAAGCATCAGCATAACAACTATCAAAAAGACAAAAGACACTAGATTTAAAAAAAAAAAAATTTAGAAAGGCCATTGTTAAATGACTATACATCTTGGCTCATTCAAGGACACCAGAAAGCATACTTCAGTTTGAATGCTACCACCAGATGAAAACACGTAAAAATATAACAGCTGTTTAACTTAAAATGCTAGTCCACTACTTCCTGGAAAGGGAATCTTCTAATAAAGAATGCTAGTGCATTTCACTGAAACTTTAGGAACGAATATCAGAACACCACACTGTGTCTTTTAACTACAGTATATTAAGATCTAGAGCCATAAATAATTGATTCCTTATTAAATACTTTGTTTGATTCTGCCACTGACACTGTAAGTGGCATTCCTTGAACAGATAGAAGGATACACTAAGTGAACTTAAAGATCTTTTTCAACTCTAAAATTCTAGAATTCCATGTCATGAACCCAGAACCTAACCATGGGATCCTCCATGACACCTCACAAGTCCGAAACATCACGGTCCACCAACATATCAGGATCTGGGAATTGGCAGTGTTGTCTTGAATCCTGACTTACCGTGACTCTCTAAACATCTCACAATCCCGATGTTTGTCAGGACTTAACACAGCTCTAGGAGCTCTGGTGGCCTAGTGCCTAAGGCACTTGACTGCTAACCAGAAGCCTGGAGATTCAAACCCACCAGCCACTCCTCGGAAGGAAGGTTGGGCAATCTACTTCCATAGTGATACCACCTCGGAAACCCAAGGAGGGGTCGCTATGAGTCGGGGCCGACTCGACAGCACATAACACCACCACCACCACTACGACAACTCTAAGAAATGGCACACTCAGCAATTGTTCCAACAGTGTTATTACTGTGGCATCTCTCCGTGCTCCTCCCTTCCACTCAGAGATGCAAGTCGGGATCACCTCAAACCCACCTCCCATCAGCCGAAGGAAAAAACTCGACAGACACTCGATCTCACCTCAATCTCGTAGTCCTTCACTGGAGGGTGAGCCGCCGCCGCCGCCATGGCAAGGACCCCTACCATGCTCCCCGCTTCCTGGTACCCCTGCTCCTAGGACCTTGCAAACATCGGCCCGGTCAGCTTGTTGGCCATGGAGGCGGCCCGCTCCCGGAGGAGCGCGAAGCAGCGTCTCAGTCCAGCTCGGAATCCCCTGAGCCCACCAGCCCAGAGCGGGCACGGAGGCCGGGCCCAGCTCAGCCGAGTCGAACGCGGGAAGCTACGGTGAGAAAAGCGCGGGCGATGAGGTTCCTGGCACGCTGTTGGGAAGCCCGGGAAGCCCCCCAGGCGGATGCCCCAGACTGTGTGCTCCAGCGTGGAGCGGAGGCCGGGAAAGCAGACCGAACGTACACCGGACCACAGGACTTTGCAGAGTTCTTGTCAATTGGGTTTTCGCGCCGTCCTGACCGCGGGGGGCGGAGCTTAGGGCTGCTTTTAGAAGCCAGCGCGGACGGAGAGCCGGGAAGGCCAAAATACTTGCTTTGGCGAACTACAGAGGGCGGGATCATCGTACCGTAAAACTTAAAACCAGTTGAGATTTTGGAAATTCTGTCTTCTGGAGTCCTTATAGCCCGTTTTCACAGACAACATCGGGTACCTAGTCAGTTGATGGCAGTATTAAAACCTTGGACTCTTGACGCCCCAGACTAACAGCTTTTTCAAAGTGGAAATTTGAAAAACTTTCAAAAAAATTTGAAAAAGAAATTACAATTGATTGTATTACTGCCTCCCAGAGTAAAATGTTAATGTTTTGGTGTGCGACCTACATATGCCCATTCTGGGTCTGAGATTTCGACTTTATGTTTATACCCCTAATTTGAGAAGGCATTTCTTCCCGTGGATTTCGTCCCCATGAGCAGCCCCGGAGCCCAAGGTCCCCGCCTGTACTCAGAAGCTCGCAGGTACCAATGGTTTGCTAGTTTGCAGTGATGGTAACCTCATGTATCGTTTGCATTATTTTCATGGATTTGTTAGCCTATGATTTTCTTTTACATTAAAGTTACATTTACATAAGCATAGTGTGTGTTTGCTTCGTTTCACAGCAGTTTTGATTGCAAGGTACTTAAGAGTGAAAACAAAGCAGGAAACGACTTAATCAACTTATAAGGGAAGCCACCCTTGTTAGGTCGGGTTATGTATACTGATTTTAAAAACTGAAGTAATTGTACCCATTTTTATGTCATTTGGTGCTGTGGGTGAGTTTAATATATATGCTCAAGAGCACATACACATTTTCCCCTATAAAATGAGTGATAGTTACTTTTTCTTTGAAAATGGGCCCTGGATAAGGATTTTCCAGACAGGAAGACTATACTGCTTTCAGTCTTCAAAAATATACTCTTCTGCTGTTGTTTCTTAATAACTGACACAGTATATAAAGATTGTGCTCAAAAGGGATGAGGAGAACAGGAGAAAGAAAGGAAGAGGAAGAAAAAGAGGAAATGAAAAAATTTCAGAGAAAACTACAAATTTCTCCTTTGACTTCCACTCCCAAACTGTCTCCTTTTCTCCCCCAGGTAACCACTATTATCTATTTAACATGTAGCAATGCAGTCTTTTTTTATACTTTTACATACATACATGTATCCATAGGAAATTTTTAGTATTGTTTTTATTTTATTACAAATAGTATCATTGTAAATATTGCTCAGCAGTTTGTTTTTTTTCACACATTGTTTTCAAGAGTTATCTATGATGCATGTGTTGTTGTGTTGTTATGTAGATCTAATTAATTTCCTTTCATGGTTAAGTATGCCATCGAAACATACACATTTTATTTATCTGTTTCCTTAGTGATGAATATTTAGCTTGTCTCCAATTTCATGTGTTGGGTGGTCATTTGAATGCCTCTTTGGTGAAATGTCTATTCAAGTCTTTTGCTCATTTTATGATTGGATTATTTGTCATTTTTTTGTTAAGTTGTCAAAGTTTTATATATTTTCTCATTATGAGATTTGTGTAGGATACATGTTTTCTGAAGATATTCTCCAAGTTGGTAACTTGTGTTTTGATGAACAAAAGTTTGTTTCTATGAGATCTTAAACAAAACTAAAACCAAATTCACTGCCATTGAGTCAAATCCGGCTCATAGCGACCCCTCCTTGAGTTTCCAAGGCAGTATCTCTACAGAAGTAGATTGGCCAGTCTTCATTCCGAGGAGTGTCTGGTAGGTTTGAACCACCAGCCTTCTGGTTAGCAGTCAAATGCCTTAGGCACTACGCTACCAGAGCTCCTATATATTTATTTATTTTACCATTTGTGCTTCGGTTATTATATTAGATGACCCATTGCTAAAAGCTAGGCCTGACAATGTTGCCCTTGTTTGTCTTCTAAGACTTATGTGGGTTAGTTTGCACATTTAGGTCCTTAACCTATTTTTAATTTGTTTTTGTGCATGGTGTGAGGCAAGGATTCTGTTTCGTTTTTCTGAATGTGGAAATCCAATTTTCCCAGCACCATTTATTGAAGAGATTCTTCTTTCCTCATTGAATGGACTTAGCACCCTTGTCAAAAATCATTGGCCATAGATGTGAGGATTTATTTCTGGAGTCGCAATTCCATTGGTCTTTGTGTCTATTGTTATACCAGTAGCAGGTGTTTTGATTATTGTAGCTCTGGTGGGCTTAGTGCCTAAGGCATTTGACTGCTAACCAGAAGGCTGGTGGTTCAAACCCACCAGCCACTGCCTGGAAAGAAGGTTGGGCAATCTACTTCCATAGTGATACTGTCTTGGAAACCCAAGGAGGAGTCGCTGAGTCGGGTTCAACTCGAGGACAGTGAGCTTGGTTTGGTTTGGTCTGGTGGCTTTTCAAATATTCCCTGAATCATATTGAAGAATTTCCTTCCTATTCCAACCTGGTCCCCACCTTCTTTTTTTTTTTGCCTCCAAATGATTTTGAGTTTTGTTCCACATTGTTCTCCCTCTTTATGCAGGATCTCCTACATCCCTTCCAAGTGGATGGCAGTGGTAGCTGGGCACCATCTAGTTCTTCTGGTCTCATAGTTGTATAGGTTGCAGATCAGATGGTGTACCAGTCGCTAGGACTAATTGTTTCCATTAATTTTGGTTTTCTTCTTTCTTCTTTGTTCTTGATGAGGAGAGACCCATCGTTGCATCTAGATGGCATCTTGCTAGCTTTTAAGGTCCCAGTCGCTACTCGCCAAAGTAGTAGGTGGAACAATGTTTTGTATAGTATGTTATGCCAATTGAGCTTGATGTCCCCTGCGACTGTGGTCTCAAGCCCGCAGGATCAACTACTCAGTCCCTCTGGGTAGCTGGCTGTGACCAAGTAATGACCATAACCTTGCCCTTTGTCAGCTCTACTATACACCTGGGAATTCTGATCATTCACATGAACTTACAGGCCCATTGTCTGCCAACCCTATATATGATCTTGGATACACTCTCCATTTAGACGTACCTAATTGTTTAGCTTGTTCACCCATCTATCCGTCCCTATACCCATGTTTGTTTTCACTGACAACTCAGTACTGTATATGCAAAGGGGTTCATATTTGTTGTCTGTACTGCCCATGTAACTCTCTATGTCTTTCTCATCCTCAATGCTGCCATATTGGTCACTCACGTTTGGTACATTGCCCTTCTCTTCACCCAAATCAATATTTATCTCTATCTATCTAACAGCATTTCCTCCCCTCCCCTCCCACCCCTGGTAACCAACAAAGAAAATGTCCTCCAATATATAAACCTTTCCTTAACCTTTACAATAACGGACTAATACAATATTTGTCCTTTTGTGACTGACTTATTTCGCTCAGCATAATGTCCTCCAAGTTCATCCACGTTATGCGGTGTTTTGCAGATTCTACATTATTCTTTAGCGTTGCATAGTATTCCATTGTGTGAATGTACCAAAGTTTGGTTATCCATTCCTCAGTTGTTGGACATCTAGGTGTTTCCAAGTTTTAGTGCCAGGGTATCTTGAGCAAATTGTATTTGCTCTCTGTTCCTGACTGAGGTAACTTTCAGTTCTGACATCTTAGGCCAGAGGTGGGCAAACTATGGCCCACAGACCAAATCTAGCTCATCACCTGTTTTTGTATGGCTTGTGGACTAACATTTTGTTTTCTTTTTTAAATGGTGGAACTAAAGTTAAAAGAATATTTCTGATGCATGAGGAGTACAGGAAATTCAGATTTCAGTGTGTATAAATGAAGTTTTGTTTGCACATGGCCACACCCATTTGTTTATTAAGGCTGCCTTCCCACTCTAACAGAATTGAGTAGTTGCCATAGAGACCTTATGATTCTTAAAGCCCCAAATACTTAGTGTCTGGCCCTTACAGAAAGTTTGCTGAGTGCTGTCTTAGATTTGTGCCAATATTTCTGTAATTTTGGTCATCACTTAGGTCTCTGGCTTTCTCATTCTGTGAGCCTCTGGGTGGTGGGGTCCTTGTCTTTATCCTTGTGGTGTACCGTCAGGTTCATACTAGCCTCGGAAAATGCCTGCCCCTGTGGGATGCTCATTTATTGTTAGTTGCTGTGGAGTCAATTTAGACATGGACCACACGGATGCAGAGCAGAGCTGCTCTATAGGGTTTCCCAGGTTATGACATTTTCGAAGCAGATGCCCACACCTTACCTCCCAGGTTTGAACCACAGACCTTGATTGGTTAGTAGCCCAGTGCTTAACCATTTGTGCCAACCAAGGACTCTTGCTTATTTACTAGAGAAACAGTATAAAGACCATTGAAGGGCCAGGGCGCTGGAATCGGATCTTGATTTATGTCCTGCCGGCGTGGGAAGGTTGTATCACTTCTTTATCCCTCGGTTTCCTTGTCTGTGAAATGGAGATACAAATAGGATTGTTAGTGAGGCAAGAGTGAGCTAGATGAGGAAAGCACTGAGCGGAGTGTTAGTTATTAATCCTTTCCCGCCACAACTTACTTCCCGAGGAAGCACTGTATGCCGCGCGCCATAGGCTCACGACCGACGCGGACTCGGCCTGCGAGGCCCACGCTGCTGGGACCCGGGCGCGCGAGACGTCAATCAAGGCCGTCAATCAA